AGAAAAAAGTACAACATAAATCAGAAAGAAAAATCACCATAGTGTTTTGTGTACTGCTCATCATCACAAACTACAGTTATATAATACATATGGGGTAGATGGGCATAAAAGTCTACATGAGAACCTATGAGTATGTTTACCTAATTACTAGCTGCTCCTTAGGGATAGGGTTATTTTTGTGAGTCTGTAGGTGAACGTGTGTGTGTGTGTGTGTGTGTGTGTGTGTGTATGCATGTGTGTATTATAATTCTGACAGTGCTAGGGACTGAATCCATATCTTTGCATATGCTAGACAAGCAGTCTACCACTGAGCTATATCCCACCCCTGCTTATAAGAATGTATGTCACACACTAAGCACTATCTAGATACTTGATTACATGAATGAATAAGCAAACAAAATGTAAAATTAAAGAAAAAGAACCTAGAATAAAATACAAAAATATAATTTAATATCTAACACAATGGATTCAATAGTGTTTTTAGAAATTATAAAATGCAGACAAAGGAAAGACATGGCTTTGATCCATGATATACTTCAACAGCTTATCCCAAAGAAACTGAACTAGCTATTTGATTAAGTATACTATAGGAGTTACTGGATTATTGATATAAGTCAAAAGCTCACCCTGTAACATCAAAGCACCAGCAATTATATATAATTTAATTTCTCCCCCATATAATTAAGTAACAGAATATTACTATTCATTTTTTTATGGGGGGAGGGTACCAGGGATCAAAACTCAGGACCTTGCACTTGCCAAGTAGGCACTTATACCGCTGAGCCATCTCCCTGGCCTACTTTATCTTTAAAGAAACAATAGCATGTATGGGAAAACAAAAGCTTCAGGAAATAAACAAAGATACGTGTTTGGAAATACAAGTGTAGGAGAAAAGGAGAACATTTTTTAGTGGCTCCATCTAAAAATATAAAATATCCTACCTGCAAGCAAAATACAGCGGGGTGGCTCCTGACACATTTGGCCTGTTAATATCAGCACCACTGTCTAGCAAGCACTGCACAGTCTGAGGGGAGGAAAACAATTAAAAGTAAACTCAAAAAAGTCAAACAAAACACACAATTATCAGAATTTTAATCCACATAAAGTCCTGTCCAGAACTTGAAGCTTTAAAGAGAATATGAATATACACAAGTGAACTGTGATGGTTAAATAAATTCAACTTAGATAAATTCTTTGAATCTCAGTGTAATACATGAAATCATCAGTGTTATCTGAGTTACTTTTCTTGTTGCTGAGACAAAATATCTGAGTTCAAAATCTCAGTAATGGGAGGAAAAGTTTATTCAGTTCAGTTTGAAGAAGTTTCAGTCCATAAGAGCTGGAACCAAGGCAGTTTGGCTTCTCAGAGGAGAACAGTTCATGGTGGGCAGAAGGCAGCAAGTCAACAAGCAGAAGACAAAAAAAAAGCAAGTAAGGGACATACAGCATCCTTCTCCCCTATCTTAATCCAGGCTATTCAGGGTGGGCAGTACTAACAGCCTTAATCCTAGAGTGCTTGAGCTTAGCACTGAACCATGAATCAATTCCACTATCACACACTCTAGATCCAGCCACCTTTAAAAAAGCCCCATATCTGATGGCACAAGGCTTTTGGAAGACATCTAAATACAAGCCATAACAAATGTGATATGAGCTTTTTTATTCAACCCCGGTACCAAAAAAAAAAAAAAAACTACACCTTTTTTTAGCTCAGGAAGGCTGTTGAGCAGCACTGTATAGCTACTGAGCACTTGAAGTATGGCCAGTACAACTGAGGAACTGAATTTTTAATTACAATTAATTTAAATTTAAACAGCAACATATGTCTAATGAACTGCACACTTTTAAAAAAATTGAATTTAAAAGCAGAATTTTTAATCTCTAAAAGAGAAAAAGTAGGCATTGAGTTATAACTTTCTCAATGTCAAAGCATATAACTGGTAATTATATAATATTATCTTAAGTTACTTTTCTCACTGCTGAAATAAAATACCTGACACCCAAAGTTAAAGGAGCAAAGATTAATTTGGCTCCAGTTTATAGAGATTTCAGTCCATAATCAGCTGGCTCCAAGGCAAGGTTGGATGGCATATAGGGATCAAAATCAGTGGAATGATTTAGTAATCTCATACCCTTATTCCCAGCAACACACACTCCAGATTTGACTACCTCTGAATGCATAAGGCTTTGAGGGGACATTTTGATGTGACCCATAACAAATATTAAAAAGCTAAGATATACTTTCCCTATAAACAATACTCAATACTAGCTTAATTTCTTTGATAGTCATACATATATACTTGGTCCCTACAGCTCTACTTCTATGAGTCCATTTGATTCATACTAAAAAGAAGTATGCTAATATAAAATTCTTAAAAATATATATTTGATGATTAGAAATAAAATAAGCCCCACCTAGAAATCTTTCTAAAAAATATTTTCTGGTTTTATTCCTATAATTCTCATTTGAGTTTCTCCTATAAAAGGAATAAAAGCATAAAAATATGAAATAGTTTATGGAATTAAGACTGTTTAATAAATACTCCAGAACTGAACATGTGTGCTTCACCTTGCTGCTACTCCAAAACTTAGAACTGTCAATAACATCTGCCCAGAGAACAAAAAAAAACAAATACAACAGCATACTAAATAAGTTTTCTAAAGATGGCAAGCAAATGATAACTGATTCAAAGAAAGCTGATCTAAGTAACTGCAAGTGGGGGAAAACTTCTGCTCATTTGAACCTACCACTATAGACCCAATAAGCAACCAAATTCTCAGTGTAGTGTACACACGTACACACACAGATAACTGAAATACCGTTGAGGATAGGCTGATTACCTGGAGATTAAAAACAGGAGGAACAGATGAAAAGCTATAAAAGAAAATGATCCTTCCTTTGTTGTTTCTTTCCTTCCATCCCACACAAGCAGTCACTATCCCTCCCTATACTGTTTCAAAGATGAGATGTTCATTCTCCAGATAAAGTCATTAGGGAGGTTCTGGACTGAAAGGCAAAAAATACAGGTAAAAGCAAGATTGAAGAGCCATGGTAAAAGCACTAATTAAGTGAAAACTATCGGTCCCATATATCATTTGGCTCCCAGAAAGTCAGCAGCCAGCCTTCGAAACTCAAGCAGAGGAAATTAATCCTGTCTGAAGCCTGGAAGCAGAGAAAGAATTCTAAAGAGTCATTAGAGCCACCCATAAAATAGTCCAGTTCAAGCCAATGGGTCTACAGTAGTAATCTCAAAGGAGGGCACACTTTCCCCATAGGGGACATTAGGCAATGCCAGAGGATACTTTGACTTTCAAAGCTGAGGAAGAGTATGCTATTGATAGGCCAAAATGACAGCTAAACATCCTACAACTCGTAAGAGAGCCCTCACAACAAAGAATTATCAGTTTTAACATAACAACAGGGCCAACAGTGAGAAACTTCAGTGTACATAGAAGCCAAACAGTCAACTAATTCAGCCCACATACACAGTGCTTCCAGTCAACATCTGAGTACCTCAGTTTTACACATGAATCAACACAAAATACAGGCCTGTAACCTGAAAAACAAAAATTTAGACAGAAACTCAGAACAATAAAGACTATCAAAGGAATGAAAGAAAATGAATATTTAAAAAGTAACTGATTCCCTCAAACACGAAAAAAAAAGTTATGTCTACAGAACAAGAGTATGAATCCTTTTTTTAATCAGATTTTACTGGACATTTTAGATATACTAAGGATCATAATCACCACAGAGAATTTGTACCTGTACATGATACAATGTGATTCTAATCCAAAGGAAAAATATTCAGACAATGAGTAATTAAAAGTATAATAGAATAAATAATTCAACAGAAGCATAGAAAGATAATATCTGGGAGCTCCACAAAAAAAAAAAAAAA